TTTAAACTAAAAAAAGTTAAAAATAAATAAATTATGTTTCTCTTTTAATTATAAGTGAGATAAATAAATAAAAAATATGAAGAGTTTTTGTTATAAATGACCCACCATTAATAAAATATTTATTTATAATAAATTTAAGTAATTTTTTTATGATATATAATAATTATTTTTTTAAAAAAAATGAAAAAAAACTAAATGCAAATGGAGGCCATATAGAGGTGCCACATCACCTCCTCTATGGTCCTCATTTATATATATATATTGATTTATAAAATATCAACAATTAAATATCTATAATACTTATGAGCTCCCGTCTTAAAACTTATTTCTCATATAGTATTAAATAAAACATTTTACTTTATGTTGCACTTTTTAAAATATGATTAAATTTTTTAAAAAAAGTTTCAATTTTTTTAACAATTGATATGATAAGAGGATGATATTTTTTCATTAGGTATTCAGTACTAGTGGTTGTGGTGGAGATTGAATATTTCAAATTCTCTTTGATAGAGCTCCGTTCAGTTTTTTTTTTTGGGGGGTGGTGATAGCGCATTCTATATAAGATTTTTTTTATGTTAAAAATTTAAACTCGAAATCTCTGATTAAGAAAGGAGCAATCTCATCCACTGTACCAGATCGATTCAGGTTGACCAAATGATGAATTAATTAATGCTTCACATAACTTTCAAGGTTGAGAAAAAAGAAATTTATAAAAGATCATCTAATTTGATGATAAAGAAGTTGGTCACAAAGAAATGATTTTGCCTAACCTTTTGTTTGGCAGGACATGTATTGATGTAACCCCATTTCATATTGTCATTTGTAAAACAATAGTAAGTGATTACAATGTTGTTTGAATTAAAAAGTGGAAACAAATTGGAAGGGGATTTTGTCGAAATAAGAAAGATGAGAATATTGAATATTGAAGCCACCTAAATATTATAATGCAAATAATTAACTGGAGTAATACATAAACAACCCGTTAAGATATTTTATTTGAACACTCAAACACTCAACATTTTATTTACAAATATAAAGTGTTTTAATTAGATTGAATTTTGAATTTTTATTTTATGCGTATTTTTATTTTATCTATTAAATAGTTAAATTAATCATATAAAATATGCGATTATTTTTTAGGAAAAAATTATACACAACTTATTGTATCACTCTATCTCTACAATTTGAAAAAAATTACAAAAATCTTTACTCTCCTTCCTACTACGGATACATCACTTTACATGATTTATCGATCGGATACTAAGAGGGCATATTCCTTGTACTTAAGCATTCAGTTCCCTTTCAATCGGTAAAAGCTTGGTCCCAAAAAAGCATGCATTACTTTATGCAATGTATCAAAACTTCCCGATGTATTGTGAGTTGTGACATTGAGTGATATACTCGAAATCGGGATATAATGTATTAAGATGTTGAGCGCTGTATTTGAAACTAAAACGCGATGTATCAAAACGTTCAGTGATGTATCCAAAATACTTAAATTTAAGGGATGTTTGTAATTTGAAAAAAAAAACTCAAAATATAATGTATTAACTCTTAATATTATGAAATGTGTGTAAAATTATTTTCTTTTTAATTAGCATTAGCCTGAATAACCCTCAAATCTTAAGCATTTTCTATTTAAGATTGATGCATATAAATATAAAAATGCTATATTTATGTGGCTAACTTAAGTTAACTACGAAAAATGTGTGTAACATTTTTTCCAAATTAAAACCAAACATATCTAATTAAATTATCTTATTAAAAATACTTTTGATCTTCTCTAATCTTCTAACAAACATTACAAAAGCTTAAAAGTCAAAAGTTATTCAAAATAGTTAACCCAAACACCCTCTTCGCTTGAGTGTCTAAATGAAATAATATCTCATTAACTTTAAATATAACCGATTAATTTTAATACAATGTATATATATTTTGTATATCTCAATTTATTTAATTAATATTAAAATATATTATACATATCTATATTTAATAATAATTTAATTTAATAAATTTATTTTACTTTTTACAAAATAATTTATAGCTTTATAAATATCTACAACTTATTTTAAAATATATAGATTTTAAGAATCTCCATTTTCAATTTAATGTCAAGTAACTATGTTACATAAATAAATTAAAGACAAAACAAAAAAAAGTAATATTTTAATATGCCAAATCACAAATATTATCCCTTCTTCTCCCTCATGTCTGGACTATTTATTTTGCTTGTCTGAGTTGTACAAGCAACTGATTCTTTTTCTATCTTCAAAAATCACCAAAAAGAAGAGCCAAAAATCATGTCTTCCCCAAGCAAAAGAAGAGAGATGGACTTGATGAAGCTGTAAAATCTCTTAACAATTTATTTTTTTGGTCCAAATTAATTTTGGGGTTTATTATTTTTGTTTCATTTTTTCAATTTTTGTTTTGTTTAATTAGGATGATGAGTGATTACAAAGTTGAAATGATCAATGATGGGATGCAAGAGTTTTATGTGCATTTCCATGGACCTGCTGAAAGTAAATCTCCTCTTAACATTGTTATCTCAATTTGCATTCTTTTTTAGGATATATACTAAAATATTTACATTTTTAAGACATTTATTATTTAAGAAGGTCTTTGTTGAGTGTTTTTTTTGTAACTTGAAGGGGTATTTTCTTTTGGTGTCTATTTTGGTTTTTGATTGAAAATGGGAAATTAGATTAAAAAAATTTGAAGGTAACTTGGGTGAGGATGAATTGATTAGATGAGGATATTTAGGATTTTGGTGGATAGGACAGGGAAGAGAGACTGAGATGGTTTGGACACTTGAGGAGGAGGTGTGTGGATGACCCGGTAGAGGAGAGGCGAAAGTAGGTCGAAGAAGTATTGAGGAGAGGTGATTAGGCAACATATGATGCATTTTCAGCTTACTGAGTATATGACCTTAGGAGAGTCTTAGTAGCTTAGTTGGTTGGTTACTGAATGTTAAACTTGCTAGTGAGAGTTCGATTTTCCACATTGTAATCCCCTTTTCCACACCCCAAAATTGTATATGACCTTAGATAGAAGGATATGAAGGTTGCGGATAAAGATATAGGGTTAGTAGGTAGTTGAGATTTGTGTTATTATTAGCCTATTCACGTCTTTGGTTGGGTGGAAATGTAGAGCTCCGTGTTGGTCGTAGTATTAGTATATTCATGTAGTCTATTTTTTTGTGGAACTAAAATATGTAGATTATTGCGTGTAGGTAATCTCACCTTGTTGTTGTTGTTATGGTCGCACTACTTTGCTATTAGCTATCATTCTTTTATTTTAATTACGGCATTGACTTGCTTGGTGGATCTTTCGAAAAACAACCTCTGTAACTCGGAGAGGTAGTGATAAGGTCTGTGTACACTGTACCCTCCCCACACCCCACTTTGTGGAATTTCACTGGGTTTGTTGTTGTTGGGAGAGGTTGAATTAAGAAGTCCTTATTTGGCATCGTTAGTTTTATAGTATCACTTTGTGGTTATGAATCTACTTATGCTTCTTGGGGTGCGGCTTTCCCCGAAGCTTGTTGACGTAGGATACTTTGTGCACCGGTTTACTCTTTTGTTTGGCATTGTTAATTTTATAGTCACACTTTGTGATTATGAATCTAGTTTGCTTCTTGGGTCCTTATGTTGAATGGATAATAGAATTATATTTAGTTATATATGTACCTTTTTCGTGTATCTGCTTTTTGGAAATTCACTAATAATCTTCAAGTTACATCCGCCTTTTTGTGGGATTATAATTGGATATGAAGAAAAGAGGGGCAAAGGTGGATGCATGATTTGGACTTGATGGGTTCAACCTTCATTTCTTTTGCCATTATGGTTTTAGATTATAATATTTTTGAAAATTTAGTGGTTTTCACATATGTAATAGTAAATAACCGTGTAAAAACTGCCAGCTTCAGTTGAACTCGTTGATTATACATTGCGTCCGCCTTTTAAGGATGCAAAATTGCTTTTTTCAGTTTCTGCTTTTAGTTACCCTTGTTTTTGCAGGTCCTTATCACGGTGGAGTTTGGAAAATAAAGGTGGAACTTCCAGATGCATACCCGTATAAATCTCCGTCAATTGGTTTTATTAATAAAATGTACCATCCAAATGTTGATGAGATGTGAGTTTTCAACAGCTTAATTCTGTAGATAATTTCATCCTTCTAGTGTTGTTTTAGCTGAAGTCTGAAATTTCAACGGATTATCATTTTTCAGCTCAGGATCAGTTTGTTTAGATGTTATCAACCAGACCTGGAGTCCCATGTTTGGTAATTGGATATGAGCAATGATTAGATTTTGAAATTTCTATGGTTTTTCCGCCAACTTCCTTTTTAGTAATATAGCTGGTTTCGAAACAATTTCCACAGACTTGACAAATGTGTTTGAAGTGTTTCTCCCACAACTTCTCTTGTATCCTAATCCGTCGGACCCATTGAATGGGGAGGCAGCTGCCCTGATGATGCGAGACCGAACTGCATATGAACAAAGAGTTAAAGGTATAATGATCCATATCAGCTGCTTATTTGTTACAAAAATTTGTGCTTGCTTTAAGTGGACGAGAAGAACGAACTATTAGAAGTCCTTGAATCTTTGAGTAAGGTAGACTCATAGAATTAAAATCTCATAGCTTTAGTTTGGTTTAGGGTCCACTGGAGACAACCTCTCTACCTGCCAAGGTAGGGGCAAGGTCTGCATTCACTCTATCTTCCCCAGATACCACTTGTGGGACTATACTAGGTATGTTGTTTTTGTAGCTTTGAATTTTGATTGGTTGCTAGGGAATTGGTTATCCTTTGTTTTCTTGATATTTGCGCGTTGATTATGTTAGCATTCTATTGTAGATAAAATTTTCTTAAGTTAGCTTCTCTTGAACTATTCATGGTTAGACTAAGTTCGGGTGAATAGACAACAACATATGGGCCTAACTATCAATTATTGCCCCCACTTGGCAGGCTATTTTCATTTGCTTGACTTGGAGTATAGACATTATGTCTTATTGAGCTAAACATCATCCTCATTAATGCTAAGAATCTACATTTCTCTTTCTATACGTCTATCATGTGGGTATTTTGCTTAGAAATTTGGTAGGGCAGAAAAAATCTGTTATTCAGACTCTTCAAAATGTCGTCCAGTGTATAGGGTCCACCAAAAGTTGTGCATTTTTGAAGGATTCAACACAGATGTTGCTTGGACATATTACTGCTAATTTATGTTTGCTCAAACTCTTCAAAATTGTTGCTGCATCAGTGTCTAATCCTCCAAGAATGCACTACTTTTGGAGGATCCAATATGCACTCGTCGACATTGAAGAGTCCGAGCGACATAGCTTCTAATAGAATGCCACTGTGTCACACATTCCTCTCCTTTCAAAAGTTTAGGCCATTCGAATGGAACTTCTTAAGCATCAAGTCATTAACTAAGCACTCTTAACTTTTTGTCACTAAAGATGGTACTCTTTTCCTAACGAAGTTATCTTCTGGATGTTAAGATACGTTTTTACTGCTTTAATCTATTGCAGAATCTATGAGATCAGTGTATTAGGTTGTTGAGCATCATTCCAGTATTTTCTTCGACCATATCTAAATGATTGTATGAAAAATCAACCGAGCAAAGTAGTTTAGATTTATGTTGCCACCGTCTCCTGCTCGTTTCTCCTTCAGTAACTAAACTACAGAGATAGTTGCTACCTACATTCTGAAATGAAACTATGATGCATCACATTCTCTAATGATGCATCTTGGAACTATCAGGTTGTGGAATTCGTAACCTGAAAAATAAGGCGACATTTTATAGAAAGAGTGTAAAAATTTCATTACACAGTTGGTAGATACAAGTTAAATCCTTCAACATTTCTAACATGAACATGGTTGTTTATCCAGAATATTGTCAAAAATATGCTAAGCCAGAAGACGTTGGAGCTGTCCCGGAGGACAAGTCGAGTGACGAGGAGTTAAGTGAAGCTGAATATGACTCAGATGATGAGGCAATGGCAGGACCTGTTGATCCATAATACCTCCCTCATCTCCATTACTATCTGTAAATCATGTCATTTGTCCTATTGTTGAACTGCATAGTTAAAAAAAAAAACTACTGATTGTGAAGGGGATCCTAAAAGAAGTTGCCCTCTTCTGTTAATGTAAATAAATTTGATGTTTGATATCCTTCATGTTCTTTTATATGTGTGTGTTTCGCGCATTTATCTTTTTCTATAATTGAGTTTCTTCATTAAAGCTTGATATTTATTAGCGTTTTGTGCTTAAATCCCCAATAGACCTTCAAGCTTTATTCGCCTTTGATAATGCCGCAACAGAGTATTTTGACATGGCAGGGAGAGTAAAGAGCAGGTTAACTAACATCTGCCAATCTTTAACATACAAGTTGTAACAAACAAATGGATGTATTTTTAAAATTGAGTAATTATTTGATATTTTATTTTAAAAAATAAATTACAATTTGATGTTTTTAGAAAAAAATTACTTAGTTACACATTCAACTCAACTAATTATATAAAAAGTCTATTATGTGAATGAATTAATTACATAAAAATGTCTCAATGTACCACGCAAAAAGACTTTTCTGGCTTATAGTTTCCGTCGCGTTTTTTTTTTTAAAGAAAAAAAAGAAAAAAATATCCGACCTGCCGGATTCGAACCAGCGACCTAAAGATTTCAGCAGTACTACTACAGTCTTCCGCTCTACCAACTGAGCTAAGGTCGGTGCTGCTGTAATTGCGCTACAAAATATTATAATTAGTAAACTATAATAACCAAGTCTTTTCACAAAATGGTGTGTTACAATTGATATTAGTACAAGTTTTTTTTTTCTATATGTAAATTCAATTTCATTTGGTATAAAATTTGAATAACAATATATGTTATTGAGTAAAACATGTTTTCAAGTAACAAAACTAAATTACAAATTTCTGCAAATGATTAATGTAATTGGATAGTGACGTATTTGAATGTAGAACAATCTGTCCTTACAATCTTTAATCAGTATATTATTTAGAACTTTAAAAGATGATATGGTAGCCTGCTTCAAAGCTATGGACTTACATTTGCAATTCACAATATATAGTTAACCCTTCTCTTCTGTACTAAAATAATACTCATCATTTCACAAAATCAATACATAATAACATTATGATTCATATATTACCCATGAGAGATAAACCTCGAAAATATAAATTTGACCAACATAAGAAATCTAAATAATCGATTTATGTTTATTGATCAATTTAATTAATTAAAATAATTAATTTATGTTCAACATACTTCTAAGCATATTTACTACCTAGTTTTGAAAACGTGCCTCGCATGTTTGATCTTTATTATTATATAAAATTTATATAGGCCTAACTTATGTATAGAAACATGTGTAATATCAACTCAACTAACTTAAAAAATAATGAAATATACATGCCATCATACGTGTACAAAATGAAAAAGGTTAAACAAAGCAATATATTAATATGAATAAGGAAGAATAATCGATAAATTGAAATTTCATAAAGAAATCTAGTGGACTAACATTTTATGTCCAATTTATAAAGAAAGAAACTATGTATGCCGTGATAGAATTATTAGCAGCCTAAGAATAATTCCTAATCAAGCATAATAATAAGTTAATAGATGGTTAAGAGAAGAGGCATATGAGAAATATTTTAATGAAACCTTACCGGTCACATTGAAGATGAATTTAGAAGCAAAAGGGGAGAATATCAATGGATCTAGTCTAGCATGATTTACTGATCTTACTATTTATAAAATTCTGAAAGCTTAATGTAAGAAGTTGAAAAGAACTTTAAAACATTAAATTGGTATGGAAAAATGATAAGCCATACTAGAGTATTAAATTAAGTGGTAGTACCAAGGAAATTAATTCATATGTAAACTCAAATACATATTAATCATATCATTGTAAAACTTAATATGGTATTTTTAATTAATGATAAATATTTAAAAAATTAGATATTTTATAAAATTTTAATTTAATATTGGGAACAATTTAACTTTTTCCTAAACTCTTTTTGACTTTTAAGGGAAAATGCACAAGTATCCCCTCAATCTATGTTCGAAATCTCAGAAACACAATTATATTATACTAAAATCCTATTACCCCCCTTAAACTTATTTTATTAATATTTTTCTATCCCTTTTCGGCCCACGTGGCACTATCTTGTGAGCCTAACGCTTGTTGACATTTTCTTTTAAGCTAGTGCCACGTAGGCTGAAAAGGGGTAAAAAATTATTTATAAAATAAGTCAGGGGGTGATAGGACCTTAGTATAGTATAAGTGTGTCTCAAGAATTTTGGACATAGATTGAGGAGGAACTTATGTATTTTCCCGACTTTTAATAATATATATGTTGTTGTTGTTGCTGATGTTGTTGTTGCTGCTGCTGATGCTGCTGATGTTGTTGTTGTTGCTGCTGCTGCTGCTGCTGCTACTGATGATGATGATGTTGTTGTTGTTGTTATTTCATTTATAAAAAAGTAGATTTAATTTCTAACATCCCATAATATTTATATTTAATATAAGAAATTTTAATTGACTCTTGTTCTTTCACATTCTTTTCCTGATAAATAACAAATAATTCAAAAAATAATTAATATTATTTAATTAATTAGATGTTTAATTTAGTCTAGGGATAAAATGATAATTCAACTTTTCATCTATGGAGCTTCCCACTTATAATAATACTAATTTTGTAGAACGTGCGTTGCACGTTTATCTCATACAATTATTATCAAACAATCCAAAGATTGATCATTTCAACAACATTTTGATCTTCTTCATTCTTTAACCTCTGCATGAAATCTAACCGAGATATGTAGAAATGAAGGTAGAATATTGAAGAGGAACCAATCTTTTTCTCCTTCCAACATTACAAGACATTAGTTAAGATATAGAAATCGAAATTCACTAAAAAAATGTTACATTACTACAGTAATAACTTTGACCATTTTTGCTAAGATTAGAGCCATTAAAACTTGTGACAGAATAGCCTTGTAAAAGAGCTCAAACTATAAAAACAAAAACCTATTCTACAACTTCATTTAGCTAAGATTCATCAAAAGAATGCAAATATTTCAGGATGACATCCACATGTTCTTGTAAATGAGTTTTGAGCCTGAAACAATTCCATCAAGTTCTAAGAATCATCAACATAATGCGAATATTATGGGATATTTGTACACTGAATAGAATAACAAACCTCGAGAAAATCTTGTATCTGATAACATGGCACCCAAGAAGCCGAAGATGATAGCTATGAATCCTTGTACGGTTTCACCACTATATTTGAGTAAAAAGATTCAACGGGATTTGAAATCCAGTTAATCTTTGGGTGACTTAAATGAGGAACCTTAGGTAAGGGAAGATGGAAAGAATCAAATTATTAAAGATATTTTAATCAAAAATTAAAAGGATTTATTAGTTTTCAACTTTATTGTTTTACCTTTGATCTTCATCACTTTTCTCACAAACAAGAGGTGAAGTAATTGAAGAAGTATTGTGCCTCGAGAAAAGGAACAGTCTATTAACTTAAATCATAATTATGAATAATATTTTTATGCAGTATTATTAATGTAGATGAAGATCAAAGGTAAAATAATTAAGTTGAAAATTGACAAGTCCTTTTAATTTTTGGCTAAAATATCTATAATTTGATTTTTTTCATAATTATGAGTATTTTTACTGCAATTTTATTAATGTAGAACATATAATTTCTTTATATATATAAAGGGTAAAAAGGTAATTTAACTTTTGACGTTAATTCCTCTCACTTATAATATAATATGATAGAGATATGACATAAAGTAACACCTGAAATTGTCCTGAATTTTTAAAAAGACATCTTAACTATACAGATGTCCTATTACCCCCCTAAACTATTCAGAACATATATTATTACATCATTTTTGGATAAATTCCAGATTTTAAATGGCAAGTGTAATCACACACCAATCATTGTGTGACACGTGTTAATTCAATTGAAAATATTATTTTTTTCATTCTAAGTTTTTCTTTATTTCTTTTCTTACTTTTTGACTTATTTTAGTTTTATTATTTTTATTTTAATTTCATTTCAATTTTTAATTCATCTTCCACCCCAACTTTCAAACTCCCTCCATTTTCTTTCTTTATTTCTTCTTCTTCACCTCTTATCCTCACCTAACCCCACACCCATATCAAGTTGAGCCCCTCCATTTTCTTTCTCTTTTCTTCTTCTTATTTGGTCTTACTTTTCAAAGTTATACTATATTTTAGACTTTGTTGAGTTATTGATAAAAAAATTAATTATTTTTCTAAGAAAGATCAAAATTTTGAAGGTATCATCATTTAGTTTATCTCATTTCCATATAAGTTCAAAACTAGAAATGGTAATTTTGAAAGCATAAGAATTCTCTGAAAATTGAAAAAGTTAAATTAGAATTTGGATAAAAAACTAAATAATGTCTAATAATCATCTTGAAATCTAATGGGTTTATCACATTGTTCAAAGTGTATTAAAATATCTATATATAATTTTAAAATAGAAGAGAGTTAAACTAATAGTAAAATAAAAGAGAGATGGAGTTGTGGTAAAAAGTGACATTGAAAGTGATAATTAATGAACATGACAATGAATTTTTGAAGAAGGAAGAAAGAAAAAGAAAAAATAATAAGGAGAAAAAGTTAAAACAATAAAAAAAAATAAATATATATTTTATACTAAAATTCTTGTAAAAATAAAATTATATTTGTTTTTTAGTTTGTTCACGCTCTTTAAGAGAGTGTATACACTCTCCATGCCAGGTGGACGAAAAATGATGTAATAATATCAGTTCAGAATTGTTTAGGGGAATAATATGACACTTGCATAGTTTAGATATCTTTTTGGAAATTCGAGACAACTTCAGGTGTCACTTTATGTTTTTTTCTCTAATATGATATGATGTATAAATCATTCTGTTATTGAATGCCAAACATTGTATGTTGAGCACATATACCACACATTTTGAGGAATTTGGCAAATGTATTTTTGTTTACTAAATGATGCGATAAAGAATGACACACATATTAATTTGTATAATTTCAAGATGTTCTAAGCTGTTTGTGGACTTGATTATCAAAATTATTTTTCCCCTTTCTATGATAGTCTACGATCCATACGAAGTTCTATGAATCGTAGACTGGTCTCGTAGACCTGAACCAGTAGCCAAAA